TTCTATCTTGTATTTTATAGCATGTATATGTAATTGTATCTAACGTAGTTTTTAAAACCTGATTGAATTTACAAATAAAGTGCCTTGCAGGTAGTAGGTCTTAGTAAAGGAGGGTCTCCTGGGGCTTCTGCTGTGGTTACTCTGCTCAGCATTCTTCTGGAGAAAGTAGAGCCTCTGTTTGCTCACCCAGAAGATGGAGCTCCCAGGACTACATGGAGACACTGTGCCCCAGATGCCTGCAGACGGCTCAGCCCTGAGCCAGGCCTTCCCCCACCCGAATGACTTTTGTGCCCCTACTCAGGCTGATGCCACTCAGCAGGAGAGGAACCAAGTTAGGTCTGGGGTTATTTTGACCGGCTTTCAACCCTGGGGAAGCTCCGGCCTCCCAGGCACTCTGAGGCCGGTCAAGGCCTTCTGCACCCAGGGCCCAGAGCCGCCTGCATCATGGGAATCCCCCGGAAGCCCTTAGGCGCCTGTTTCCCCTCTTGACTCATTCGTGTGAAGGAGGGGCACAGTCACGAGCCAGCGTGACTAGGTCAGCGCTGACAGGCTCACAAGACACTTGGCTGGGAATCAGGCCACAGACATCAGCGGTGAGCTGGGAGGCCTGCAGAGCCCAGGGAACAAACAGAAGCCTAGAGGAGATGCCCACTCCAGCCCCTCGGGCCTCAGGAAGTGGCCCAGCCAGGACACAGGCTCTGACTCCCCAGAGCTCATCCCCCCACTCCTCCTACCCCTTGCTGGCCCACCCTTCCCCCTGCCCAAATTGTCAGCGCCCTGGGGGACTTGTGCCCATCCGTGTGGCCCAGGTCTGCCACCGTCTTCCCCTGCTCCAGAACATTTCCCCCTCATCCTTTCCTTTCTGCTTCCTAATCAAAACCCAGCTGTTCAAATGACAAAAAATTAAAAAAAAACAAAAAACAGTTGTTTTGTGTCCCTTCAGCCTCTGCTCTCTAGGACAATTCCCAGTTATGTGAGGTACATGGAATTTGGAATCAAAGATCCGTATTGTGGGCGCCTGGGTGGCTCAGTCGTTAAGCGTCTGCCTTCGGCTCAGGTCATGATCCCAGGGTCCTGGGATCGAGTCCCACATCGGGCTCTCTGCTCTGCGGGAAGCCTGCTTCTCCCTCTCCCACTCCCCCTGCTTGTGTTCCTGCTCTCGCTATGTCTCTGTCTGTCAAATAAATAAACAAAATCTTTAAAAAAAAAAAAAAAATCCGTATTGAAATATTGGTGCTGATTAGCTACAAAGTCCCCTGCCTCTCTGAGCCTCATCCTGTGTCCTCATCTCCTCCATGGACAAGTTTAAATGGTTGCCCATGTGTAAATTCATAGCTGTTATGAGAATCAAAAACGTTTTTAGATCTGAAATCACTTCATAAACTGTAAAGTGCTTTCATAGCTATAATACAGGGCTCATGGCTGACAAGTTGCGTCAGCCGGGTCTTTCTGGAGAAACGACACAAAGGAATGGCTTAGTGGTGGTGTTTGGTGGAGAGATCCACCTAACCAGAGGGCCCTGCCCCATGTTCCTACCCTTCCCCGAAATCATATCTCAACACAGGCCCTTGTAGGCAGAGTCTGATCTGGAATATGGGTAGGAGTTTGAAAACTCCCACGGAATGACCACCACCCCCCAACCCAAGACAGGAAATGGACTAAGTAGGTGTTGGGTTGATACAGACTTGTTTCTGCTTTAGATGTGATTCACCCAGTTTGTCTCAACCATTGTTGAGGGGAGAGGCGATGGAAGGATAAAACATCTGTTTCTGAGGAGGAAAGCTGGGGGGTGCAGAGCCCGTGTGGCTCACAGGAAGGCATTTTCAAACCGTTTGTTGGCTTGGGGGCCTGGAGTGTGATCTGCTAGGGAATCTTGCAGGGGTTTAGCCCCCAGAAGGCCTGGATCCCAGACCCTGCTAAACCACACCCAAACTGTGTGCCCATGGTCATCTCTGGGCCTACATTTCCTGTCTGTACAAGGCCTGTGATAATCCCCAAGTCAGCAGAATTATCTGAGCATTCATGGGTTCACAAGACAGTTGGGTTGCAAGGGAAGGTGCCCACCCGCCCAGCCTCCCAGTGTTCGCAGCCTCAATGTGCGCCCCCCCGCCAACACCCAGCACAGCACTTCTCTGGGCCTCCAACATGTCTGTCTCCCTGTTGGGCTGATTCCTATGAGCGAGAGAGCAGCGCTTTTTCATCCTATACTTGCATTCACTGTGCACACAGGCCTCATGGAGGCAGGGAGGGCAGTGCACCTGTGATGACTATTCCAGAACTCACACTGCAGCAGGGCCAGATGCCCAGGAAGGCCCCTTCCTCCCTGTGAGGCCAGGATCGCATGTCTACATTGGTGTTGTTTTCAGAGATCTCATTTAGCGTTCCCCCTCTGGGGTCACAGAAAACCTCAGGCCCAGCCAGCAGTTGCCCCAGTGTCTGGGACTGTTCCATCAGTGCCCTTTCTCCTCCTTTGGGGCCAGTCTGATTCAAACCCCAGCTCTGCTGCTGACTAGCTATACCCTTGGGCAACTCACTTAACCATTCTGTGCCTGAGTTTTCTCTTCTGTAAAATGGGAATAATAATTCAATCTACTGCTGGGTAGATGCATATTCAGCTTGATAAGAAATGTCAAATTTGTTTTCTGAGGGGGTTATACCAATTTATATCCCCAATAACTGCCTAAGAGATGTTATGGCCCATATCCCCTTCTACCTCTGTATTGTCAAACTTTGAAACTTTTGCCAGCCAAGGTGGATGTAACATGGTATTCATTATGGTGCTTGTTTGCATTTCTCTGAGTGCTAATGGGGCTGGGTATGCCTTCATATGTTTATTAGCCATATATATTTTCCCTTCAGTCAAATGTCTATTCGTATCTTCAGTTCATTTTTCTCTTGTATTGTTTATCTTTTTGTTTAACTGATTTGTAGGAGTTCTCTATCTTTTCCTATATATTCTTTTTTTTTTTTTTTAAAGATTTTATTTATTCATTTGACAGAGAGAGAGAGACACAGCGAGAAAGGAAACACAAGCAGGGGGAGTGGGAGAGGGAGAAGCAGGCTTACCGCGGAGCAGAGAGCCCGATGCGGGGCTCAATCCCAGGACCCTGGGACCATGACCTGAGCCGAAGGCAGACGCTTAATGACTGAGCCACCCAGGCACCCCTATGTTCTTTTTTTTTTAAAGATTTATTGATTTATTTTGAGAGAGAGAGTGTGTGCAAGCAGGAGGAGGGGGAGAGGGAGAGGGAGAGAGAGAATCCCAAGCAGACTCCCAGCTGAGCAGGGATTCCGACACAGGGCTCGATCCCACAACCTTGAGATCATGACCCGAGCCTAAATCTAGAGCCAGAGGCTTAACTGACTGAGCCCCCAGGCATCCCTTCCTATATATTCTTAATACTAATCCTTTGGTTATATAAAATAATTTCTCTTCTCCCAGTTTGTCTTTTCACTTTATTCAAGATGTCTTTTGATGAGAAGTTCTTCATTGTAACAAAGCAAAATATCAGAAAGATACCATTATTTTTTCTAAAGGTTTTCAGGTTTAACTTTGCAGTTCTTGATCCATCACTCCAATCTAGAGTATGTGGTGTGAGTTAGGAGTTTTGTCTTTTTCTAAGGATAACTGAATTTTCTAGGTGGAACAGTCTTAGAGCCAGTCTTTGTCTTTTTCTTTTCCTGGAGCCAATCTTAACTGATTTTGAGGGGGCCGGGAGGGAGGGCCCAGCTGAAGTCTGACTGACACAGAATTCCATCTTAGCCTGACCAAGGACTTCCTGAGGGACTCACATCCAAGGAGTCTAGAGACAAAAAGAGTCACACTGCATCTTTGCCCACATAGCCCCTGCCTGAGCTCGGCATGAACTATTTTATTAATAGGCGTAACATACGCCTACAGCAAATAATAATACTGAACGATAACAATTCAAATAGTATGAAAAGTATCAAAAGTTAAATTCTCCCACCTCCAGAACCACTGCCCAGAGGTACCACTGTAGTAGTGATTTTTACTTTTTGTGACTTCTCTCCCTGACTGCAGATAGTATGTTTAATGTCTTTGTTTCTTGATGTATCCAGCCTAGAATAACTCTATTCATTGTCTGCTGGGGGGAAAAAAAAGTTCGTTTCCTTACATCTGCCCCATCTCTCCTCCGTCCTCACCCCATTCTCAGTATTTGACTTTGTAAAACTGATGCTAAAGTTGATGCTAGTTCCTCAGTTGCTGCCACGGCTGTATCTCAGGAAGCCCAGCCCTGTGAGGTTGCCGCCCCACACCAGGAGGACGTGGGGAAGGACATCCCATCACCCCATTTCCTGATCGCAGCCATCAGCACTGAACTGGACAGAAGGAAAACAGCCTTTTGGGGCTCTTGCCAACAAGGGTGAACATGAAAAGACTGGGCCCATTTCCTGAGTGGCGGGAGAGCCCTGGGAGAGCGGGAGAAGAATGTTGCTCATGGATTCCAGCTGGTTGACCCTCCTCTGTGACCTTGGGCAAGTCTCTTCCCTGGTCCCTTCATCTGTAAAATGCAGGTTCCTGAGGTGGCTCCCACTGCAGACTCTGCATGCTAAGAATTAGAGTGGTGGCGGGGCGCCTGGGTGGCTCAGTCGTTAAGCGTCTACCTTTGGCTCAGGTCATGATCCCGGGGTCCTGGGATCGAGCCCCACATTGGGCTCTCTGCTCCGCAGGAAGCTTGCTTCTCCCTCTCCCACTCCCCCTGCTTGTGTTCCCTCTCTCGCTGTGTCTCTCTCTGTCAAATAAATAAATAAAATAAATAAATAAAAATTTTTTAAAATCTTAAAAAAAAAAAAGAATTAGAGTGATGGCTCGGGGAAGGACTTTCTGATGAGGAGAAGCGAGGCTCTCCTGAGAGACAGTGTGATGATACAATGATGAGAGGAGCAGCTACTATTTCCTGAGTGCCCCCCGTGGGCCAGGCACTATCCGGATGAATCCTCACAACTCTCAGCTGGGCATTATTCTTCTCATTGAACAGATGAGGAAACTGAGGAGCTGAGAGGTCAGGCAACTTGTCAGAGGTCATGCGGCAGAAGGTCTGTGCCACCAATCAAATCCATCACCAGTCCCGTTGAAGAACTCAGATATATGAAAATGCTGAAAACCTCCAGAGTCCCTCTGGGCCTCCAGAAACAGGTTGGAAGGTAGGAGCTTAACCCTTCCTGAGCTTGTGGAGACCCTGCCTCCCAGACCCATTGTTGGGATTGACCCTAGCCCAGGTCCAGTGGGCCATTCTCAGACCAATTCCTTTCAGGGAGCCTTTTATAGCCAGATAAGAGTGGGTGTTGTTTGGCCTAGGGGAGACCTTTGCTCACCCGCAGTAAGGACCCCAACAGTTCAGACTGGCTTGGGGACTATTCTTTCCCCTAGCCCTCCCCAGAGACAGAGCTGTTCACACTCTCCCCCACCACCATCCTATTGATAGGCATTCTCTCGGCTGTACCACGTCTCAGGGACCTTGGGGACCCACAGGCCTCAGCCTCAGCATGGCCTGGCATTGGCCCCAGCTGGGGCAGGTCTGCTTCCCTTCAGACCCAAGGCTACAGTCCGGGAAGGAAATGAAGGTGGGAGGGGCCCAGAAATGCTGACTTGGTTGGAAGGCTGCCTGGGAGGGAGGAAGCACAGAAAGGCCCAGCCCAGCGCTATGGGCAAAGCCAAAAAAGCCGCCCTGGCATCTCTGCAGATTCAGGGCCAGGGGCCTCTTCTTGACCACCCAGCCCTGGCTTGTGGCCAGGAGGCTGGGGGAAAGGTCTAACTGTATCACACTATAAATAAGGGACTGAACTAGAGTCTGGCCATGGGGGGCCAGACTATGGAGCTTTTTCCCCCACTAGCGGCCAAGTCGGTGGCTGGTGGGCAAAGAAATGCCCATGTGTTAAATAAGCCCCTTCCCTCAGAATCCTCCCCTCAGAGTTCCCTCTGCACTTCGGAGCCCAATATAAAGAAATGAATGAAACAAAGAGGCACAAACAAAACAAAGCTTCTTTCCTTTTCTGTGAGGGCAGGAGCCCCTCCAAGCTGGGGCAAATATAACAAGCCCCCCACAAAAAAAAACAAACAAACCCCCAGAGCCTAGGTCTGAGCTGCTGAACTCCCCTAATATTGTGGCCTGCCCAGGACAGGTGTCTTGTGTGGCCACAAGTGACTAGTCCCCTCACTCTTCATTCTGTCCTGGTTACAGCAATGAGACTAGAAATTGTCCATGTAGGCCAGGGCTTCTCAAACTCAGCACCGCTGATATCTTGGGCCAAATGTTGTGGAGGTTGTCCTATGCATTATGGGACGTTTAGCAGCATCCCTGGCCTCCACCCTCCTAACAGTGACAAAAATACCTCCAGATGTTGCCAAATGTCCCCTGGAGGACAACATGGCCCCCCATTGAGAAACGCTGCTCTAGAGATCCATTCTTTCCTTTTTCTTTGGTAATAGGACTTCTGATTTCCAGTTGGCACACGGTCACCAGGAAGAATGACCAAGAAACTGAAAGATCATCCTTGCAGCTAGGTGTGGCCATTTGATTAAAATCTGGCCAATGAGAGGTCGGCAGAAGTGCAACCTCCAGGAAGTGTCTCTGAAGGGAAGGTGTGTGTCCTTATGACCGCATCTCCCTTCCCAGCAGTTAGAGTACAAGTGATGCGACAGGAGCTGAGTTGCTTGGAAATCATGAAGTAGGAGTCAAGTGATAAGATGGCAGAACAGTAAGAGAGGAGGAGGTCCTAAGTGACCTTGGAGCTGCTGTAATAGGGATGGACTCTACTGCTGGACTTGACTCACATGAGAGAAAACTAGTGTCACTGTTATCTTGGCCTAACTCCCCTGGGGCCTAGATTTTGGCCTCTGATGAACTCTCCTGACACCATGGCCTCTTGTCAGTCACACTCAAATCTAATCCTACAACATCTAAGATAAACTTTGCCATACTTGCGACTTCAATCACCCACTGTCTAGATGACCATGATCTTCAGATTTGCTCCAGCTCAGTTCTGGTAGTTCACTGGACCTCTCACACAGTTGCCATCCTCTCCCCAACCTGTCTTTCCCCCCAGGGCTCCCCATCTCAGGAAAGGGTGCCTCCATAGCCCAACACCCTGTAAGTCATCGATTTCCCTCCCTCCCACTCCAGCCTTCCACATCCACGAGACCCCAAACCCCCCATTCTACCTCCTAGAAAGATTCTACTCCTCTACTCTACTTCCCGTGGCACGGTCCCAGCTCAAGCCCTGACCCCTCTACACCTTGTCCATTGCCACCTCCTAATTGGTCTCCCTGCCTCCAGTCTCCACCCCACAGCCTTTGTCTGCCCTCTTTAAAACCCACCCATGACTCCCCTTGGTCTCTAGGACAAAGTCCAAGCTTTCCGAGTGAACATCACAACCTTCTGCCTTCTGCACCGCCCCCATCTCCCAGGCCTCCACCCCTCCCTCAGCACCTCCTCCTACAGGATACTACACAAAGAATTTGCTTTAGCAAAGGCTATTTTCCTTCTGTCCACCTGCTATTCCCTGTCTCAAATGCCCTCCCCAATTCCTCTGTTTGGTATTACTCTTCCTTCAAGGTGCAGACAAAAGTCACCTCCATGAGGACTTGTCTGATTCCCTCAGCAAGAGAAGCCTGTTGAGCTCTTTTCTGTGCTGCCACAGAATGTGCCCATCTAACAAAGCTTATCCCACTATGCTCACCGAGGGGGGGCTGTCAGTCTGTCTGTCTGTCTCCCCTGACTGGCAGCGAGCAACCTGGGGAAGGATCCCATTTTCTTGGAATCCATAGCACCTAATCTAAAGTAGGTGCCCAACACACAATACTGTTACCCATTTACTAAGCCCCTACTATGTGTCAGGCCCTGAGCTGGATGCTTTATATAAATTGTCTAGTTTTATCCTCAAAATCACCCTGCTGGGAGAGATGAGACTGAGATTCAGAGAGGCTGAGCAGCTGCTTCAGGTCACACTAATCGTGCACAGCAGTGTCAGAGACCGATTCGCCAGCTGCCATACTTGGTTCTCCATTGGCCTAGGGCTTCACCCCCCTGCCAACCCCAGATGTGGTCTCCAGGGAAGCACCAAACCCCACAGCTAGCCAGAATTGGGTATAGAGCAAGTCCTTTGTCCTTTTATTCAGTTAACATGTTGGGATTTCTTTTTTTTTATTTCTTTTTTATTTTTTTAATTTATTTATTTGAGAGAGAGAGAATGAGAGACAGAGAGCATGAGAAGGAGGAAGGTCAGAGGGAGAAGCAGACTCCCTGCTGAGCAGGGAGCCCGATGCGGGACTCGATCCCAGGACTCCAGGATCATGACCTGAGCCGAAGGCAGTCGCTTAACCAACTGAGCTACCCAGGCACCCACATGTTGGGATTTCTTAAAAAAGAAACTTTTAATAGGAAACCAAGGGAAAGCCCCTCCTCCCAATTTAAATATGTGATATACACATATATACATATATATGTGTACACACACACATATTCTAACACAACTGACGGGCAAGTTCAGGTCCTCCCACTGAGCTGTTACTTCCTCCTCTCTAAACTCAGTGGGACGGACTAGATGGTCTCAAGATCCTTGTCAGTCCTGATATCCTGTGATTCCATGGTTAGCTTCTCAGGTGGATAGTTGGCTGGTGATTTTTGTTGAGGAGGACAGCACCCTAAGGACACAGCTATGGGAAGAAGGGAATAGGGTTATGCTGTGCTGCAAGCAGACCAGCCCCCTCCCCTTTATGACTTGATCTGAGGGGGCCAAGGGGAGAGAGAGACTTGCCCAAGAGCCTCCTCCAGGCCCCTTTCCCAGGCCCTAAGATAGCACTGACCAGTCTGAAGACTGGTCCTGCTGGGCTTTCAAGGGTCCTCTCCCCTTCAAGGGTTGGGCCTTCAAGGGTCCTGTTGGGCCTTCAAGGGTCCTGTCCCCACCCTTGGCCTCAGTTTGCACATCTTCGCTTCCTTGGGCCACTGGCTGTGGCCTCCCCCCTCCAGCCAGTGGGACCCTCTGGAAAGCCTCTCACAGCGCAACACAGGAAGAGGAGAGGGGAGGCTGTGGGCGAGTTCCTGCGGAGGCTCAAGCTCAGCTGAGCTGTTGGAGCCTGTCATTTCCCTTCCTCCGCCCACCCAGCTGGGAGGCAGAAAAGTTTCATCACAGCTGAGTTGTTGTCCTTATAAGGGAAGGGCCTCCTGAGCCTCTCACTTGGGCCATGGTGGCTGGTGGAGAGCCTGGCCAGCCTGGGGTATCCTCCAGGCACCAGCAAAGGTGGGGATGCCCCAAGCCTCAGGTCTGCCAGAGGTTCCCTGGGCTCAGCATCCATCTGAAGTCAGACTCTCCAGAGAAAAAGCAGGAAGCCCATGGTGGCCCCAGGCCAGGACCCCAGGGGGTCAAATCCCAGGTCCTGGCACTAACTTGTGGTCTCCTGGGCAAGTTGTTTTAAACTTCAGTTTACTAACCTGTAAATGGAGTGAACATAAATACATCTGCCTCATGAGGCCACTGTGGTGACGATGGGAGGTCAATGTAGGCCTGCCAAATAGGATGTGCCCTGTGAGGCCAGGCCATTGGGGTTTATTAAACATTATCTATGAGGCAGGCCACGGGCTAAGTGTTCCACAGTAACCCTGTGAAGAAGGAAGAATTAGCCTATTTTATAGACAGGAAAAACTGAGGCAGTTTGCCTAAGGTCACTCATTCATGGCTGGGCTTGAATCTAGATGTGTCTGCCTCTGAATCTAAAGTCATGGTTTTTTCTGCTTATACCCTGCTACTTCCTCCAGGATTTTTTTCCTTTAATAAAATTATGACAACAGGGAGGAATGTTTACCATCATCTCTCTACCATCTCCTCCCACCTCCCCCACAGACCCTCCTCATAACCTCCACTTAAGTGAGTGTATGTGGCCTTTTCTGACAGCCAAGTCTCCTATTTCTGACATGTCTTGTGTCAGGGATACGAGAGTAAAGGTTGGAAGGCAGGAAGACAGGACTTGGAGTTGGGACAAAACACAATAGCTCCAGAAAGACACAGAGAGCTTCCAGGGCCCAGGCTCAGGTGGGGGCAGAGGGAGAGGCAATCCAGATGCTACCCATCGCCCCAACAATCCCTCCTTCTCTGTCCTGGGTCTTGTCAGAATGTGGCCACCTTGTGGTTTGTAAAACCGTGAATTGTAACTACCCACAGCACTTCAGGCCATTGAGATACTGCGGCCAGTAGTCCAAAAAAAAAAAAGGCCTCCTCTTCTCCACACAGGCCCCCAGCCCCCAAGACCAGAGGGAAGATTCTCACCATATCCTTCCTCAGCCCTGTGGCTAGCTACTAAGACCTTCCCCACAGCCGCCCTCTCCAAGGTGGCCTTCCAGAGGGGACCTCATTCTTGGGCCAGGGTCGGGGGACACCCTTACCAATAAAGGAGTTCTTCTCCCTTACCTTGGTTCCTTCTCAGAGATAAGGGACCTGTGAAGATGAAGTGATTCACCTAGGGTCCCCCAGCTCTACAGGCCACTCACTCGGTATGGCTGTGACACAGAGGCCAGTGGCAGGGGAATTCAGGCAGGTCATTGCCAGGCAATAGGCCCTGGTCAGGTGCTTCCTGTTATGTTGGCCACCAGCCCTGTCCAGCAGCCCTCACAGGAGGAAGGGAGTCAGCCGTTGGGGAGCCCAGCAGTACTTTTTCACATCAGGGGTAGGGACATTGTACATCTCCTTTTCATTGGTGAGTAAACTAGAGGCTAAGACTCACCAAGGTCTCTCAATGGGACTTGAACCTTGGCAGTTTGAATTGGATCTATGTACACTGGCCCAGGGGCTTCCAAAGGGCACTCAGCGAAGCCCTGGGATCCTGCTGAGATGTATTAGGGGTGTGGTAGGCAGGGCCCAGGCTCACCCCCAACCAGGACAGGCTCTGAGGTTAAAGTAACAGCTGGAATCATTTTGAACCATCATAGGAAACACCTGTTCAGGCAAGAATCATCAATGAATACCAAATCTACAGGGAAATTTTGATGAGGTGAAACGTATTTGTGCAGTCTTAAAATATCTCCCAGATTGTTTATAGTTGCAAGAGAAAAAATCATAAGTATACAATAGAAAAATCAGACACCTTGACCAGGAGGTCAAAATTGACATCACCAATGAGGGATGAATGAAGGTCATACGTCTCCGGATGTGATGTCCTGAGAATCCATAACCTCAATCTAATTATGAGGAAACCTCACAGTGACAAACCCCAAGTGAGGAATGTTCTATTAAAAAGGGTGGGGGTGCCTAGGTGGATCAGTTGGTTGAGTGCCTGACTCATTTTTGGCTCGGGTCATGATCTTGGGGTAGTAGGATGGAGCCCTACATTGGGCTCTGTGCTCAGTGGGGAGTCTGCTTGAGATTCTCTCTCCTTCTTTCTCTAAAATAAATATTTTTAAAAGGGGGAAGGGGGGAGGAAGGGCTGTATTCTTCAAATGTATCCACATCATGACAGATAAAGGCTGTGGAAACATTTCAGATTAAAGGAGACTAGAGAGACATGTAATATTTAAGCCTACACTGAAGGAAAAATATGAGATTATTGAGTCAAATGACAAAACTGGAGTAAGAGCAATAATAAGTATACCAGTGTTAAATTTTCTGAAGTTGATAACTGTATTATGGTTACATGAAAGAATATACTTACTCTTAGGAAATGCTCAGTGAAGTATTTAGGGATAAGGGACCATGAAAACGAATTTCTCAATGATTCAGAAAATAATTACATTTGTTAAAGATAGCACTCAGAAGATAAACCAATGGGTCAATCTGATAAAGAACACGTAGGTACTCTTTGTACTGTTCTTATTCTTGCAACTTTTCTGTTCCAAATAATCTCTAAAAATTGAAAAGCATTGTTCCTTATGACACTTAGCTCCCAGCCTGTAGAAATAATGTAGGCAGGGCTGGGGAGGGGGTAAAACTGGAGGGCCTAGCTGAGTTTAGCAAAGATGGGACCCAGCCTATGGGAGGGGAGCCCTAGAATGAAGCTTGAAGGACCAGTGATGCCACTGACCAACGACGGCCTACCCTCTGCTTCCTTGAGGCCAGCCCTGGAGCTCGTCCCCACACCAACAAACAGGCTTGCGGCAGAGAAGTTCCATAAAAAGGGATTTATTGCCAAACTTCAAGAAAGGCGCTTCATGACAGAAGACATGGAATGCCATCCTCCTCAAGGAGGCAGGCAAGGCATCCCCTGCATATTCCCCATCCTTCTACCCCTCCCGTTGAAGCTAGCTTTCCCCTTGGGGCCCAGGCCACCACGGCATGGGGAGCCCAGAGGGACCAATGACATTAGATCACTGAGATGGCCCCAGAGGTACTTGCTCAATCTGGTCATTTATCAGAGGAGGAAACTGAGGCTCTAGTCCCTGGAAACAGGTGACTTGGCTAAAGCCCCAGCCAGCCCAGGCTGCTGGTGGGGGAAAGCTGTTCCCCAAGAGAAACCTGCAGGGGGCCATATGATGTGGGCAGCCGATGACGTCCTCGCTCTCATACTGAAGGCAGATGGACAGGCAGACTGTGGCATGGGAACCTAGTTTTGTCCATGGAGTGTAGTTTGAGGAGGCCAGTGGGGGCTCATGAGTCAGGACATTGCTGTTCACCTCCACCCTGCCCGGGACAGGCTGCAGAGTAGACATCTGCCCCTCTTGATCCCTGGCCACTACCCTCAAGAATAAAGTAGAAGTACAGTAAAGAAGACACTGACCTGCACTGGCAGGTCTCAGTGGGCACGACTGGTGATGGGGCAGTGGACAGAAAGGCCGGGGCATGCAGCTGTGACCCTCCCTTCTCCTCGTTCAGTAAATAAAAGTGCACATGCAGAAACCCCCTGAGCAGACCTGTCAGAAGCTGCTCCCACTCCTACAGGCCCCAGGGAGAGTGGCTGTGGCCCTCAGGGGGCTCTGCACCTAGACGGAGACTGGATGTGTTCCCAGAGTCAGGGACAACTGTGGGGGGATTGGGGGAGGGGGATGGGATGGAGAGGCCCAGGCTGCAAGCATGGACCAGGAAAGGGACAGAAGAAAATACCCCTCCTGCTAGGAAGTTGAGAGGGGCAGTCCCTCTGAGGCCTGAGCCA